CCAGCAGCAAAATTGGACGCTCATAACAGTGCCCCGTTGTCGTTTCTGTGGCCAAAAGCACTGTGTTGTAATGCAGGTGGGGAGCGACGTCGCTGCTTGGTGGATTCTACTCAGCGCATGCTGTCACTCTCTCATTTGGAGCCGTTGGGGTAAATCTAATTTAAATTTTATTAGATTTATTATTTTATTTATCCGGAAAAAAAAAGTATTTTCAAGGTTTTTTTTTTTTTTTTTTTTAATTTTATTTTATTTTATTTTTAACTACTGATCACCAGACTGACTTTTCTCTCGACGTCTCTTTTGGCTTGCTATTATGCAAACACAGCCCCACTGTTATCGTGCCTCCTCCTCCTCCTCCTCCTCGCCCTTCTCCTCCCCTCCTGTGACAATTAGCTCCATGGGGATTCATCACCAATGAAAAAGGCATTCCACGATGCAGACCCCAAATTCGAATCTTACGGTCAAAGTCTCAGTCTCAGGCCGATAGGTCCCAAGTGGGCCAGCTCCAGAACAGCTAAGTCGGGTTCCCCCTCCGAGGTCTCAAGTCCCAACATACACCCAGTCAACAGTCACATCCCAAAGCCCAAAGGCGAAAGTCACGCGTCCAATAAGCAAAAGTCACGTCTCACGGTGAAAGGTGATATCCCACAGGCAAAGGGCATTTCCCCAGGCTACTACCGTAGTCGTGTTCCACAGGCGATAGTCACGTCTCAAAGTCAAAGGACATATTCTACAGACAAAGGTCCTTTGCCTGCGGGATATGACCTTTCACGTCTCATAGGCATAGACTCCATAGAGGCATGTACCCCACAGATTAAAGTCGTGACTCAAGGGCCCAAGCAGCATGTACCCCACAGATGAAAAGTCGTGACTCAAGGGCCCAAGCAGCAGCACACCAAGGGAAAATTAAGGGAGGTACCAGGCCTCCACATTCTGAAGCAAGCAGGCCGTGGGCATGTGGTACCAGGCGGGTCCAAGTCAAGCCAAAGTAAGCGGAGGCTGGGACGAGTTCAGGCTCAGTCCAAGTCAATATAAGGACTGGCCAGCCACATTTCAGACGGATGGCTCATTCTTGAGAAGTGTGGAGGCGCTGCTGAAGCGCTTGTGTGCTGACTGCGAGTGGCATGCACGGAAGCCGGCCATAACTGGGCAGCCCTGTGCTGAGGAGGGAAGGCGGCCATAGCCGCTCAGCTAGTAGTAGGGGGTAGACATGAGTAGTGGCTGATGTATTCAGAGTCAAAAATCTTCAAGTACATTCCAGCATCCTCGTCCAAGGCAGGTAACTCTCTTCTCTCTCTCTCTCTCTCTCTCTCTCTCTCTCTCTCTCTCTCTATATATATATATATATATTGTCACATTGTGAATCAGAGCGCAAAAAAGGGAAAAGAAAAAAGGAAAAGGAAAAAAGGGAAAGGGAAGGAGGTAAGGAAAGCTCCACCTGTTCATAACCTCTTACGTACAAGGCCAGCCACGTGGATGACATGTATATATATATATATATATATATAGAGAGAGAGAGAGAGAGAGAGAGAGAGAAGAGAGTTACCTGTATATATATATATATATAGAGAGAGAGAGAGAGAGAGAAGAGAGTTACCTGCCTTGGACGAGGATGCTGGAATGGGGTTGTTGGTGAACTCTGCGCTGATGAGCGCTGTGTGACTAGAACGCTGAAACTGCTTACTGCTTAATTGGATTATTTGTTGGACTTTCAAAGCTGCTGCACTTATCTGGACTCTGCATCTCTGGTCTCCAGTGTGGACTTGGTGTGATCTCTCATTGTGTGTGGGTGGTCAAGGTGATGAGCAGTGAGGCTCAATGCACCAACACTGGTATGTGGAATATGAAAACAAACGTAAAACAAACGAAAAACACCTAGACTTTTTTAAATTTTTTTTTTTTTTTGTTTAACAAATAGCGTGCTTCATTAAAAACACCCAGTTTTTTAATCTGGAATATGTCCGATTAACTCACCCAGCCATGCTCCCACTTCAATTACTGTTCTAGGCCCCCTTCTTCACTGGGCTTCCCTTGAGGGTCAGTTTATTTATATCTATGTTAATGTTAATGCGGCACCCAAACCCAGTAGTAGTAGTCTTGATTGATCGGGTAGGAGTAGACTCTTGTCCGGGCAGCTGCACCCTGGTCACCATGCGAATAATCAAAGAAAACCCAATCAATGGGGGAACCCCATCAATCACTACTATGGTTCACCCATTGCACCCCTGTGTTCTCCCTCCATAGGAGAGGACCCTTTGTATGTGAGGTCTGGCATCGATCACTACTATGGTTCCCCCATTGCACCCCTCCCCACGCTTCTCCCCCCCCTTGGCCCCCCCCTCCTTTGTTTGCACTTTCGGGGGCGATCTCGAATTCCAACCAATTGCGAACATGGGATCCTTCGGTGGTGGTCCCCACATTGTGCTGTGAATCTGCTGGCTGCGGGCAGTCCCACGGTGGGTCAGTGCTTTATGTGAATGCAGCCATTCAACATTATTATTATTGTTTCTTGTTTGAATAAGAGGGGAGGAGAAGATAAGGAGGAGGAGAGTGGTTGGCGAAGAGGAAGGGCATTATCACTGGTCTATGCTGGTGTACATCTTCTTCTTCTTCTTTCTTTCTTTCTTCTTCTTCTTCTTCTTCCCCTCTCTCTCCTCTCAAGTTTATTCGTTTCTTTTTGCAATTTTACGGCATTGTACTTTCTCATGAATGTGTGCTTCGAAATTGGCCAGGATCGTAACAGCCAAATTTTCTTCTCCTGTTTGTCCTTTGAACTTGTTTACGCTGCTCCTTTTCCTTTTTCCCGTCTTCCCGTGCCTCCTGCACGAGAAGCTCAGTGGAGCTGCTTTGCTTTGCTCAGCTTCCTTCTTTAGTGAAAAAAAGGAGAAGGAACAACTTTCTGCTCTTCGCTGCTGTTGCTCCTGATGATATCTGCGACAGAACGAGAGTGCACTGGGATTCACAGTGGAGTAGCTTTGCTGAGCTTCCTTCTCAGCTGATCGATTACTTCGATCCCTACTTCCTCTTCTTGATTGTCCCCCATGCCTTCTGTGCTTGTCTCTCTCTCTTTGTTTCCACTTCTCCTTTTACACCACCTACTTTTCCTCACCTCCCCCGTCGTGCTGTTCATGTTTCGGATGCTCTGTGTAGAGCTCACAAATTCCGCTCGGAACGACAAAATCGTCAAAGGTCTGAGGGCGTACTCACACTAGCACTTTCCCTAAATGTACAACTACCACCAGACGTTAGATGCATCTGACCGCAATCAGGTCAAGAGCTCAGTCTAATAAGTCCTACCTAGTGTGAGCATGCCCTGAGAGCCGTCGTCCTGTGCTTTTAACTATTTCTATTTCTTTTCAACGAGCGATAAAATCAAAGGACTCGACCAACTGGGTACGCACACATGGTCCTTGTAGATGCAGCGCCAACCATGAAGGTCAACTATAGCCATAGGCGAGTCTCTCTCTCTCTCTCTCTCTCTCTCTCTCTCTCTCTCTCTCTCTCTCTCTCTCTCTCTCTC